TATGAACCAGTCTGAGTGTAGTCCTGATCCTCTATATGAACCAGTCTCAGTGTAGTCCTGATCCTCTATCAGACCTCCATCAGTAAAGAGACCATCAGAGAGAAGATGGTCTGTTTCTATAGAGTTATTCTTAATGCTCGTCATCGGAGCCACCGGGTCGGATTCTGGTGATACCAGATGAACTCATGCAGGTTCACCAGAACCTCCTTCGTGTCTTGAGTTAATACAAGTCAGCATTTAGTCGGACTAATGGAGTTTACCTGATAACAAAACAGAAAAACCCTTGTTGGCCAAAGTTGTGCATCCTGGGTATTTGCAGGGAAAGAATTTAAACAAACCAAATATGAAAATATTACCAGTCATGATCAATAAAGCCATAGACTGTGGTGGAGCGGGGGGGCAACTGGAATATGATTATAAGGTGATCTTTGAGACTTCTGTACATTGTTATCAATGTAACATCTATAAATTCACCTCTGTTTTAAATACTAAATGTATGGTATACTGCAGTGGAGCTGGTGGAGCATGTTCTCTGTAGGGCTGAGCCACATTGATCAATGTCAGCAAACATCCCAGAATGATTTCATGCAAACACATTAAGGTATCAAACACGCATTACTACTTTATAGTTAAATATTTAACCTGTATTCCAACATGAAAAAAAGCAGAAAACAACACTTTAACACGTCACGACATCTTATTATAGTCTCAGTATAATATAATAATATATATATATATATCATATAATAATATTCACTATAATATAATAATGTATATCATATAATAATATATATATCATATAGTAATATTCTGTATAATATAATAATATATATATCATATAATAATATTCACTATAATATAATAATATATATCATATAATAATATTCACTATAATATAAACCACACACACATATATATATATATATATATATTTATAACTATATATCATTTCTCAGACCGGTGCTTCATGTCCCTCACTCCCTAACTGTCCGTGCCGGATCTGTCCCGTTGTTTTAAAAAGCTAAATAAGTTATTAGCATGACGTCATCCAGCTAGCCTAACCTGTCTGGTGTGCAGCTAGTGGAGAAGCTTCATGTACTGCTTCCCTTTCCCGCTAGTCTGCTGTCTGATTGTGAGGTCAGGCTGATCTGATATCAGCTCTTTGGCCTGAAGGTTCTCCTCAAAGTTCTCCTCTCAAACGGGTCTTGGGGTAGGATCGCGAGGATCGCTTCCGGTTTCAACTTCCGGTTCAACTGAGGATCGCTTCCGGTTGAAACCGGTTCAACCGGAATCGAGGAAATTACTTCCGGTTCTCGCTCGAACCAAAAGTTGTTCTGCGCCGCCGTATTGACAGCCATCCCAAAAACTCTTATTTCTAAAAAAAACAAAAAACTAAAATATATATATTTTATATATATATATTAAAGTAGGCTAATGCAGTTTCACAGTTAATATTAATAACAATAATATTAACAATAATAAGTAATTTAAGGGTATCTATTTATTTATGCAGAAATGATAAGAACTAATATTTATATCTAATATATTTTGTGTGTGCGTGCGTGCGTGCGTGCGTGCGTACGTACGTGTGTGTGTGTGTGTGTGTGTGTGTGTGTGTGTGTGTGTGTTTACGCACCTGTCTGCTCTCGCTCTCAGCAGCCACAAATGGAATGCTGCGCTCACACTCCTTATAGGGTCATATGTGAGAATCACCCGGAAGTTGGTGTCGCTTTTATTATTGTCCTACCCCCACAACGCATGAGTTCCTCAACTTTTTAAACAGAACTTTCCACCATAACATATGTAGAAATATACTGTTTGTGTTCGTTTTAAGATATACTTAGTTAAATTGCTGTTTTGAAAACCTGGACGGGTTTTGTGCTTATTTGTAACAGTCATAACTTATTTATTTCCTGCCGGAATCGCTCCGTATGCGGTCCTTTCCGGTTCCGGTTCTAGGAGGAGAGCAGCGGTGTGATTCCTGAGGAAGCTTCTTTCTGTCAAAATGCAGGTTAGTTTAACTCTACAAGACTTTTAAACTGTGTCTGTTTGACGCTGTTCAACGATACGATTTAACGTCTGTTGATGTTGGTGTTGATAGTTGAGATAATTTAAGAGCAGAGCTTATAAACCTAAGCTAGCAGTGTAGCTGGGCGTGTTTAAATGGTATCTTGACTGTTAGCTAGCTAGCAGAGAGCTTCATTTAACCCAAAAAAATCCTGTCAGAGAGACGTAAAGAGAAACATGTTGACGTGAAATTATTTTAGTACTAAAACTGAAACGATTTGCGATGAAATAATAATAAAATTAACAATAATATAACATATAATTTATAGTAAAATATAAATAAATAAAATTCATGTTAGTTGGTAGAAAGAAATGTAACCGGTGACACTTTGATCATGGAAATAATATTTTAATAAACTGCTGAGAAGTAATCTGATGTGTTGAGCATTTACATTTTTGTATGTATATAATTATTGTTATTATTATTATTATTATTATCACTATCGTTGTAATGAAGTTCAATTATTTAATGTATTATTTTGCCCACCTTATATGTATTTACATCACATATATGTTTATATTATTTTGTGGATTATTTTTTAAATACAATACATTGAATAGTATATATAAATATATTTGTATAAATAATATAATGTATATATATATTATTTTTATTTTTAGTATGATAAATAAAACCCCAAGAAGCAGATCGAAGACAAGCTTATGTCGTGGATTTTTTGGGGAAAATTATGACGACTGCTCCAAAAACCCAAAGTATTTGAATCAACAAGGATATGAAACGGAAAGAAAAACAGCAAATCTTCACATTTAAGTGACTGATTTTAACCTCTTAGCTAAATGTTTTGTCATCAAGTGCATTTTGTCTCCTCAGCTGTACAATAGTCGGTTACCACAGTAGTTGGTATAGCTAAGCTGTTATCTGTCTACAGTATTTTAAAAATCTAGTTAAAGATAAATAAAAAATGCATTCTGGTCTTTGTCTATTGCTTTAAACTGAAACTTGCTTATTCATGCCACCCGTTCAGCAGGTTAGGGTTTCACATCTTCAAAAACTAGCAGATTGTAGTTTTAAAAATCTTTCACTCTTTTTACAAAACCAGAAATAAATGCCACACCAGAGCTGAAAGAAACCCAGAGAAACACTATTTGTATTTATGCTTTGTTTTCCCTCCAGGACCCAAACGAAGACACCGAGTGGAACGACATCCTGAGGAAGAAAGGCATTCTTCCTCCCAAAGAGGTGCCTAAAGATGACGAAGAGGAGGAGTTGGCCCTCCAGCAGCAGTCTGTCGGTAAGAGAGAACATATATCATATTCTTCATGTTCCCACCTCACAAAACATGGCGTCTTCTTTACAGATGTACAAATGAAAATCACGGACATTATATCAAATATGAGTGATGGTTTAATTTGAGCCCATTCAGCTGATCCCTGAGGGTCAGATTAATTACATGTAGTGACTGTCTGCTGCTCCTCTGAACAGTTCAAACGTACGAGGACATGACGCTGGAAGAACTGGAGGAGAATGAAGATGAGTTTGGTGAAGACGATGAAGCTGCCATTGAGCTGTACAAGTAAGTGTGAAGGCTCTCCTAATGATGTAGTTTTGCCTTAAAGACTGGCACAAGTCTGAATCCACCTTTAAACCACCTTTCACATCACTCATGTGTCTCCTTGCAGACAGAAGCGTCTCGCCGAGTGGAAGGCGACTCAGTTGAAGAACATTTTCGGGGAGATGTGTGAGATCTCCGGGCAGGACTACATCAAGGAGGTGAACAAGGCCGGAGAGGGCATCTGGGTGGTGCTGCACCTCTACATACCCGGGTAGGTCGTCCAACAGAGGAGAGGATTCAAACAATCATGTGGAACAAAAACATCTGGTGTCTAAAAGGACAGAAAGCTCACGAGTCTGACTGTGGTGACTTGACCCTTTAAACCATTTAATCTCTGTTAGGATCACGTGCATCTTCTCTGGCTTCAATAGAAAAACCCTCTGAGATTATAAAGTCACAAGTTTACGAGAACATATCTTGTGTGTTCGCTTCACTTCCAGTTTGGATCACTCAGACGCCACCGTTACACGCTGCGATAGCGTGAGCCGCCTAATGCAAATATATATTAAAGTATTTATTCATATTCATAGAAGAACACAGAAATAATATAAATATATAAAATATACATAACGTTCAGGACCTTTCCATCGCTCAGAGGCCGTCCTTACTCTAGTTCAGGTGGCTACATCTATTACATCTATTACCCCCCCCTACTACCTAGGTTATACTTATTATAATTAATATGGCCATCGTAGTTCAACCCAAAATACCTTCTGGTAGGATATGAGTTCATACATGAGGAGCAGAAAACCCTTCAGCAGTTTAAATACTGCTTTAAAAAGATAAGTTTATTAATTAGCTAAATGATGTTCAGACAAAATGAGCGATATTAAGCCTGAGTGAGTCAAAACACTGAGAGAATAATGAGTTGCTGTCAGTCCATCAGTCTCCTCACTATGATCTTCATGACCTGTACCGTCTCTTTCCACTAAAAGACTAAGAGACCTGTCTGATGTCTCATCTCCGCCCGTCTCCCTTTCCCAGCATCCCTCTGTGCACGCTCATCAACCAGCACCTGAGCTCGTTGGCCAGGAAGTTCCCCCAGACCAAGTTCCTCAAGTCCATCTCCACCACCTGCATCCCCAACTACCCCGACCGCAACCTGCCCACCATCTTCGTCTACCTGGAGGGAGAGATGAAGGCCCAGTTCATCGGGCCGCTGGTCTTCGGGGGCATGAACCTCAAAGTGGACGGTAGGAGTTTGAACACACACTAAAGTCTTGTATTGTATATAATATATTTAATTGTATGTTTGTGTGTTATTTTTGGTTTTCAGTTTAGTCTCCTTTCATTTGTTAAATCCCATCTGTAATCTTTGAGTTGTTGATGTTTTAAACAAACACTCCCGTCCTGCACACGTCTTCACATTGTTGGTTCTGGTTCCCGTGCAGAGCTGGAGTGGAGGTTATCAGAGTCCGGAGCCGTGAAGACGGAGCTGGAGGAAAACCCCAAGAAGCAGATCGAAGACAAGCTGATGTCGTCGATCAGATGTTCGCTTCCTACGGGAAAGGACGGCGACTCTGAGGACGAGGACTATTAGAGACTGAGAGGACCCTTCAGAGGGGACAGCGTCTCCTTATTATCAGCGTCTACATTTCATATTTGAACCATGTGGCTCGTGTGCAGAGCTCCATCCTGCCCGAGGACATCTGGACGGGAAAGCAGCACAACAACCGTTCATATTTAAATAAACGTCCGACGGCTTCAGCTTCACCCAAAATCCTTACAAAAAGCATCAAAAGACAAATTGTAACTTTTTTTATTACGTTTCATGATATTTATGTCACAAAAGTGTACATTTGAATCTGTTGAATTAAATGTGAGTTCACCGCTTTGCCACAATAATCTGTCCCAGTTTTTCTTTTGGTGAGCTGGACGTCCTTAAGAGAATATTCTGAGTGTTTGGTGACTTTGGGTCCACATTGACTCACATTGACTCACACTGATTTGACATTTGGAAGCATGCCATGATGTTGCTGCTCTTTGTTTTTCCATCTGTACATACATTTATTTTCTGGTAGCAGAAGTCATGTTTCCCGGAGGCTTCCTGCCGTCCTCTCCTCCTTCAGCCTGATTTCCTTTCTTGTTGTAGATATTTCTCTTCTACAGCAATCCCTCCGGCAGACCTCGGATCCTCTGTTTCATTAGGAAGAGAGAAGAGAAGTCAAGAGGCAGTAAATCCAACCCTGAGCACTGATGCGATTTCTAAAGATCTTCTGGTAAATGTTGACTCGCTGCAGACGGAAGAGAGATGCTGAACGTTATTTCTTTCTGTTTCTCTTCACTAACGTTCAGAAGCTGTTGATGAATTCTCAGCCTGAGGAACCATGGAGGTCATAAATATTATCTATCAAGAAGATTGAAGTTTACGTTTGTTTGTTCAGACTTTTCTCTAATCTTTGATGAGATGAAATGATCGATATTCATCCCAGAGGACACGATGGTGCCAGTTTGATCAACAGAAGAATATAAACAATGGAGGGTATGATGAGTAACACTGACACCACAGCAAGATGGAATAAGCAATAAGATTAAAATAGATATAGGAAAGAACAGTTCAACTAAAAGAGTACATTATGACATATTCATAAGTAAAAACAAAGTGTACAGAAGTACTTACACCGGTGCCTAATAGACTAAAATAGAGAACTAATATTGTGTATGATACTGAGAGAATCGATGTTTCGGCTGTTCTTCCTGCAGAAGTGGGAGGAGTTACAGTTGACTTTGTTCTACAGTTCTTCTCTTGTAAGAGAGGTTTGGTGTTCTATGAAACTATTTGACTTTTTTGCTAATTATAACTTTTACCAAATTGCACTGAAGTTGGTTATTGTGCTTTCCATCATAATAGTTTTTATTTAGTGTCCTGGTTAAAGATCTGATCTTTACAGTTTTATTAATTTATCTTTTAAGGAGAATATTAATTCGAAATATACATATTGTTAAAGCATTCACAGACGGTGACATCATATTTACAGTCCTCTGTGTCGCCTTAGAGGCAAAGCAACAAAGTTTTCTAAAATAGCACTTGTTGCACCAAAAGTTGAAGACATATTTATCAACTCTCTTCTTCTCTGGTGATCGTTTGAGCAGCTGGACAGAAAGAGGACACGGTTTATATGATGCAGGCCATAAAGGAAGCGTCCTGTGGAGGAGTGTGTCTTTACATTATTACTGCTGTTACCCAGAATCCTTCGGTCTTCATGCAGCTGGAAGTGAAAAGAACAGTTTATGTGTCTTCGTGATTTCTTACCAAAAGTAACACCTTCTTGTTTCTCCTCTGGGACAGTTTGGGGGAAAGTCGCATCAAGGGATGAACCGAGTGAGACTGGAGGACAAAGGAGAGGAAACACTGTTAGATATCTAGCTGGTATCACACGTATACTATATCTATATATACATATCTATATATCTACAGATATGTATTCACTACATGCTACTTTATTACTATTGTTATGGCTCTTATATTTATCGTGTGCCTTGTTTTCTGAGGTCTTCTAAAGGTTCTAATTTGTTAAAAATAAAATAAAAAGTAAATAAAAAAAGATGGTATCAGACAAAAACCTCCATAAATCTATATTAAATCTGCGTTCAGGCCGACACATAAAGCTCAGTGTCAGTAGTTATGAATCTTGTAACAATTTATAGAAATGTAAACAGCTATCGGCTCACATTTAGAACCTTGTTTGTATTTTTTCCTAAATCTAAATTTTGCCTCTTTCAGAGTATTTGATTTGGGCAGATTTGTGTTTAACGACGTTTGAAAGCTTTGACTTCTTTGGTAAAATAAACATGTTTTTAGTTTTGTACTCAGCAGTGAAAACCAGGTAAGGAGCTGCTCGTGTTAATAAGCAGCTCATCATCTAAACCACGTCTGTTAATAACTCATGTGAAGCAGCTGTATTAAGGAACATATGGTGCATTTTAAACGTTTGAAACGGGTTCATTAAAGTGTCAACTGGAACCAACAGCTGACTGTCAACAACAGTGTCAACATTACAAACATTACAAACTGATCTGCTTTAGGTTCGTTTTTCCATTTTCAGAGACTTGATCTCTTCGTGGTTCACGTCAGCATCTAAAGAATCGTTTGTGTAAAGCAGTTGGTGAGCTTCCTGCAGACGTCTCCGTGTTCTCTTCACACCTCTGCTGCTGTTTACAACAACAGGGGACGCAAACACTCATTTAAAGAAGGAGACGCAATGAAAGACAGACCTCAGCAGGGGTTCGCTCACCTGATGCTGCACAGCTCCCACAGAGTTGCGTGCTTTAGAATAATGAAACAGGAACTGAAAGACAAGAGAAGCTCAGCAGGTCAGTGAGCTGAAGATAATATCAGAAATAAGCAGAACTGAGGGTTCAAAACTTACTCTTTTGAAAACATTCTGGTCTTGCTCCTGCAGGGAAACACAAGTTCAGATCAATAACTGTTTCTATACTCTGCATATTAGACACACATATTCTGCACTTGGCACTCTCACTGCACAACTGTTGTCTGTAACATTCATTGTTGTTGCATAAAGTACAGAAACTCTGTCAAATCTGATTTTAATGCAATGCAACAACCAACACATCTTTATTTTAAGAAGCATATAAGAAGTCTGTGACTGATGACACTTTGTCACAAACAGCTTGATTCCTTTCTGAGGTCATCCTGCAGTTCATGGTGTTGTGTTCCTTTGTAAAACGGTCTCATGTTTATCACTTTAATAACCATGTACGCTTGATTCTTCCCTCTCTCCTCTCGCCTAGTTTCTGTTTTATTTCGTTCTGCTCTCAGGTTCTGATTAACAGAATCAAGGAACGTGTTTCCTAACGAACCCCCGTCTCTAAAACATGTAGAATTGGTTCTTTATAACCAAACGTATGAAGAGCCCTTCATCTGCCTTACAACTGATTAAAGGTGATAAAACAGCATCTCCATCTCAACATGGCGACTAACGGAGCTGACAAACTGTTAGCAGCGAGGCTGATGGGAAATGTGCTACAGGTGAGCAGTAATGTCCACTGTGTTTACAATTAATATCTCAAGATACTGCAGTTCAAATGTTAACATCTGCACAGTATATGATATTATCTTCACCTACCTCGTTCTGCTCTCGCCATAAAACATCACTCATATCTGCACTTTGGACACCTCGCACCTGCAGACAAACAAAGAACACACTTATTTATTAATTATTAATAACACAACAACACAACATCCAGGTAAATATATATATATATATATATATATATATAAACTCTCTCGTCATATATACATATATGACCAGAGAGTTCTGGTTATCGACCGAGTTAAGAAGAAACAATTTAAGGAAGAAATATTACTATTAATATCTGACGGAGCGACAAACAAAAGCTGCTGTTGATTCATGATTAAAGTGAATTTACAACCTTTTTACAATCTTTTTAATTAACATTTCTTTCTTCACTCTCATCATTAATCAAACATCACACGTGAAAATGGAAACAAAGAATTGAGACTTAAAGACAAAAAGAACATGCATAAAGTGGTCAGAAATAATAAGTGTTCCCGTGATAGTTTGAATGTGGATGAATGTAAAATAATAAAGATCATTTCTGACCTTTCTAAACTCCATCTCGTCTCCCCACTGGTCCAAAGGAGCGGCGTCTGAGTGAAGAGCACACGTGAGGACTTCCAGCATCAATACAAACGTAGAATCATCACGATAATAAACACAAGACTCTAGTTTGAGGTCCACATGGTTACTTTAGTGCTTTAAATGCAAAGTAGATCTTATAAAGAGGAAGTTAACAGCAGCTGTGGTTTAAGCTGCCGCCTCGACGCGCTGATGCTGACGTGTACTCAGGAGGTGTTCAGTACATCCTGACATCACTGGCTGTGGGTGTGGTCAGTGTATCAGAGCACACGGAATACGTTACATGCACACTAATATTCCACAGCCATGACCCCTGTGAATTACACAGGGGTCATGTTTAGAGCATATATCTGTTTGTATATTGTGAATGAGTTCTTATTGTAAATGGATGATGTTCAGAGTAAAACCTGTGTGATATGTTGATACTGTTCAGGTTCTGGATCATTCTTTGGACATGTATACAGCTCATTCATACAGCTCATATATATATATATATATATATATAAGCTCGAGTAGAGATGATGTCAGAAGAACAGAAGGAGAAACATCATGAAGGGCTTGGATATCATCAGGTTTCTGGTTATGAACAAATATCACAGTGTAGTATGCACAGCTGCATGTAAACAGGAATATTAGTAGAATATTCATTTTCATTATCCATTGAAACAGAATAGTAGGAATATTGCATTTTTTCGGAATATGGATAAAGAAATTGTAATATTTTGTGCATGTAAACGTAACCATTTACTCAAGTTATGTACGTCTGAGATACTTTATACTTTAACTCCACTTCATTTCAGATAGAAATACTGTTCTATATTAGCTGTGTGTGTGTGTGTGAGTGTGTGTGTGTGTGTGTGTGTGCGTGAGTGAGTGTGTGTGTGTGTG